CTTGCTTTGGCTGATGATCCATGAAGCGCTGCTGCACCAGAGGGGCAGCATCCTCTTTGCCACCTCTTCAAACCTCAAACCCCTGCCCTAAAGCTTTTTACGCACCTCTTATTTCCTCCAAGTTTCAGTTCTAAAGGAGGAGATAAGCAATAAAATTACAATATTCAAAGTCTGGTTCTGACAGAGAAGCCTCTCTGGTTGCCATTATGTTCACTTGTCTGTCCACCTCCCAGCGTCTCACTCCATCCCAAAATCAGAAGGATATGGACACACAAAGAGGTCAGTTGCTTTGTCCCATATAAAGCGCTCAGTTTTACTGTCACACAGAGGGAACAGCAGGAACATGGCGGTGCCCAGAGCGTGGATACAGTAGTAAGAATAGAGCAGGAGGTGCCGGACAGCTCTGATCTGCAGAGTCTGAGCGGTGGTGTTTTTAGTGCGATTTCCAGTCATTGCCCAGCTTGGCTCTGGGGATGTTCATCTTATCCACAAATGAAGTGCTCATTTCTGGAGAAAAGGGGATGAGCCCACAGTCATTCTTCACATTCTGAAATTTGCTCTCCTTGGAGGGCTCCATATAGACCACCGAGTTCTTGTTTACATGCTTCTTCAGAAAAACTGCCTAGGGAGGGGGAAAAAAAATTGGTTTCAATTTAAGCTTATCCATAATAAAGGTCCAAGCAGGTTAATGACAGCTTACTAATTTATATTAGCACTTGTTAGGATGTGACTTGTGAAAACAGACTCTTCTGACACTTCAGTCATTGGAGATCTTATCCTTGTTCCAGTTTCACATGCAGGGCAAAGGGAAACCACATTAATGCTGACATGACAGGTTTACCACTACTTGTAGCCATAGGTGGAAGATCAAGACTCCCCCTCCCCCCGATCCATCCACAAGATCAACACCACACATGGGTGTTTATCTGAGGGAGTCTGTAATTTAGCACCTTTTAAGGCCAGTGCCTAAAAATAGTAAGTGGATCTATGTGATTTACAGATAGCACTTCACCTTCTTTGGTGCGGTGTAGCATGACATCTGCACCCACTTCTTTTTCTTGTTGAAGAATAATGCCACAGCGATGAAGATGATGATGACCAAGAGGAGACCTGCCAGGATCCAGGCAGCTGATTGGTAGATGAGGGCCATTTCTGTTTGACTCAGGTAACGATCACCCAAATCTGTCCCAGCTGTGGGATACAACAAAGTCGCTAAGTGAGATTGTGTGTGCAGGGATGAATGATCAAGTGGCGGTTTAATGAGCACGTACCTGTAATAGCAATGACCGACAGTGCAGGGACAGTGGTGACCTGCATTGTGGTAGTGACCGTTGTCTTAGGGGCGTTGGTAGATAACACTGGCACAGACGTGATTTCTGTTCAGACAAGAATTAAATCCTTTACCAATCTGATTGGCATAACACAAACATTCCAGCAGAACATTCCTAACCGAGTTGGTATGTATCCAAACTTCCTGTCTGTCAGTTGACACTGTGTTTATAGCAACTGTGTTGTTAACTTCCACTATACCACTTTATAAAGTTTTCCACTGGGTGAACTTTTAAAAAAAAAAAAAAAAAAAAAAAAAAAAAAAAGGCTTGGAGGAAAGGGTACATAAAGGTGGACAATGGGAGCCCATGCTGAAGTTTTCCTCTATAGGAAAAGCTGACCTGGAGCTCTGCCTTCCTGTGGCACTACAGAAAGTGTGCTGAGGGCCAGGAAATGCATGTGAATGTGCGGATGCTCAAGGAATGTTTTTGTTCAGAGCGTGTTGTGAATGGTGGTGTTTGCCTGTGTAGTGCCAGAGTGGCTAGGTCTAATAAACAAACACATACACACACATTCAGTCTGGAAAATGACACTTTTACTCCCTCATGTTGACATGTAAAAGCATTATGCCTTACGGTACAACTTTAGCAGCAACATGCTGTGCCTTGTTCCAGTGGTACCACTTATTATATAAAGAATGGTATTTTTGCACAACTTCGCTAGTTCTTCTCAATATATGAAGTGTTAAATAAAGAACATTTCAGTGTGCAATATAAGCCACATTTAGCATGTATAAACAAATTTTAGCTTTAGTGCAATAAAAATACTCAAAACCAAATCTAAACAAAACTTTGGCAAAAGGCAGCACTCTGTTTATCAAGATACTCACCGAGACAGTGTGGGCAGCATTGGCCCTTACGCAAGACAGGCACCCTGCAGTTGGCAGCCGGACAGCGCTGAGAGAAACAGTGAATGGTGCCGTTGTTGCAGGTGCAGCTGGTGCAGGCGTTGGCCTTCCAGGAGTCTCCAGCCAGCAGCACGTCTCCATCACTGGTTATGCAGTACTCCTGCTGGCTGTTGTGCACCGGTGGTATCGCCTCTGTGGTTGCAAAGGTAAGAGAGGTAAGGCAAGACATGTTTCTCACTTAACATGGAGTGGCAATTTAAGGTTAAGGCTAATGTTTATGTTGTAGACCAAAATTAGAAGGTGTGGAACTACATGCCTGCTGCATTTAACCCTGCCGTGTAACATCTCAATCTCCAAATGTTATTAGGCCTTTAGTTGCATTTGCATTTAAGATAAGCTGCTTTGCTGTATGTTAAACACAAGTGACTCCATATGGCAGATATCAGTTCAATCTAATGCCTTCTTTCCTATTCTTTCTCATCAGACCTTCACAGACATGGTCCTGATGTGCAGGGCCTTCTCATGACTTGGTTAGCTTGCACACAATACACTACCCAACTGCAGGCATACGTATATCATGTCAGTGAGATGCGTATTATTCCCACATTCCTGTAACCAGGCCCATGCATATATCAAAGACTGGCCTCTGACAATCTGTTTTTGTCAGGTGATATGCAGCGATAAGGCAGGCCAGCATTCTCAAGAAACAGCACTCAGATGCAGTCATGCTTTGCTGATTTGTGGGCCTCATGCTTGTGAGCGCTTGGGACATGCTGTTTCTCAGTGTACGAGGCCAGCTTGTGTGTTTGGGTGTAGTTGTAAATAAAATATGCTTGTGGTTTTACGTTTCCCTTGGCCTTTCAGTCCCAGAACCACAGGAACAGCACAGAATCAGCAAGATCAGTTACATTCTTGCCCATCTAGCAATAAGTTAGATGGCTGGGTGAAAGCAGTCCACGTGTGTTGCTACCTGCCTGGAGGATAATTCTGTAAACCCAACTGGTCTTGGCTGATTATTTTATGAGCCTGTGTGCCTGCTATAAAACTGCCTGACAAAGTGCAAAACCCTCCAAAACCACATGCTGATATCACATTCAAAACTGATTTGTATGTCACTGCCTGGTACCCAAACCTCTGTAGACCCCTGTTAACCTAAAACATTTAGACTTTTTACCCCCCACTTTCCTATAGCCTGGCCTTTATCTATTACCTGGGCATATGTGGCAACAGGTGTCCTTGCTCCTGATTGGTGTCTGGCAGAGAGCTGGGGGACACACTTCAGAGTCACATAGGACACGTCCCTTCCTGCAGGTGCAGCGTGTGCACTCATCCAGGTTCCAGGTCTCCCCCTCCACATAAAATTCCCCCCCAGGTGCTCTGCACACAACCATGTCCATTCCCTCTAACTGACCACTGCCCAACTCATCTAAAGTAAAAAAAAAAAAAAAACAAAAGGAAGAATTTAAAAAAGCAAGTCATGCCTTTTTCTGCTAACAAATTGACATTCTAGGGGGCCTTCAGTGTCATACAATCATTCATTCAGCCCTTAATACCTTGTACACGATGAAGTGAAACAATGGCCTTAAGAGAAGAAACAGAGTTATAGGTTACTAGAATAAACATGGATCCACTAAATAGAAGCTTGGGCAGTGTAGGGTTGTCCAGAAAGTGTTTTCAAACTAATTTCATTAACTTTCAATTTCTACAGAGCCAATGTTTTTCAGAAAAGCCATGGCATGCTTTTGTGTTTTCTGATTTATCTACAGTGTAACAGTGAGTTTATACAAGTCTCGCAAACTCTCACTGGCGAGACTTTTTTTTCCAGCTATGTAAAGTCTTATGCAATAGTTCACGCATTTCTTTGAATGGCCATATTTGAACAGCCATCTGTGTCACTCCTCCATAAATACCCTACATGGGTTGGAGGATTGTCGGTGTGGACCTGTTTAACCTTCCTTTTTTTTTTTTTTTTTTTTTTTTTTGAGAAACAGAGACTGTGTGTTTGCAAGTTCAAGTAACCAGAAGGTCTCAGGCCTGCAAACTAACTAATGATCCAAAGCTCTCAATTAAATGACTTTTTAGGGGACTTTGTACTGTGTTGTGCCAGATGTGTGTGTGTGTGTAAGCATGCAGTCTTAATACTGGTCAAGATATTGAGTACGAGTCCTAAAGCATAATTAATTAATTTAAATACAAAATGTAATGTAATGATGTTAAAATCAGCCTGAACTTTAGCCATTGATAGAATTTGACTTTTTAAAGGAGTATTCTACTTTTTAAAGCTTGCAGCTTATTTCCAGACATTTTTATTTGTTATAACTCTGTACTTACATGAACTAAATGCAGGGATCTTCTATCATAGCTGGATCACTTTCATGAAGTGATTTACTTTTCCAAATGAATACAACTAACCTTGGAAGTATATTTAAATAACTAAAGTTGCATTTGAATTGAGGGGACATACCATCACACGTAGGGCAACACTGGTCATGCCTGACAAATGGATGAGAACAGCTCGGTACAGGGCAGGAGATGAGCACACACATCTCCCGTCCAGAGTGGCAGTAGCAGTCACGACATCCGTCATGCCAGCTATCACCTTCCTTGTATCGGCGTCCGTTAGAGGTGAGGCAATAGCTGAGCACTGGGGCTGGTGCAGTGGTGCTCAAGACATGGCCACTTTCTGGAGATAAAATCATAATGATTGCAGACATGGAGTGACTATGGACATGTGAAATAGTTGTGTGATAATTTAAAAAGCAACACAGCCTCCCATAGCAAGAAACCTTGTAAATCAACTGTGGACAATTTTATAGGCTAAAGTGAGAACTACTTTAAAATGGTTATGTTCCATACCCTGCAGCATTCAAAACTCATTAATATTTGATCTTCCTTTATTGTGTATCGGTTGCCAGTACTGAACTTATAATCCAGCCACAACTCAAACTCAATATTCCCATAAATTTGTCAACTGACAAAAAAGAAAAAAAAAGGACCAAAAATCCAGAAGCCATGGGACACAGGAACTTATAAAGAGACCAAGTTATCATTAACTGAGCCCCAGCATGTGTTAAACTCAACATGGCTTGTAGGAATCCCCTGAGATCTGGACAAACCGCCAACCCTGTGATCTGAGGTCAACCCGCTCTACCCCTGAGCCAAGGCCACCCCACATTTTATTTAAATCTTAAAAAAAAAACCATCCTATTCCTAAATATTCTAACAGTCTACAGAGAGACAGATGCAGGAGTTTCAAAATCTGGCAAAAAGCAATTTACTGTATTTGCAGTAGATACTGGTCTGTGTGTGTCCTTCAGTTTGTAGACATGAGCCAGCAGCACTAATCCACCTTCCCCATAAAAGAAAAAACATATTTGAGTCTGACATGTTTATAATACATCTAAACTAGCAAAACAAACATCATTTAAAATGCGGCAGAGTGTAAATATGGAATCTGCATACTTGCTTTAAATTTAGGGGTTGAGGAAATTTAATTAGAGAAGCACAAACACGCCCTGGATAAAGCTAAGCTAAACATAAAACAAGTATCAAAACAAGCAGACATAAACGTCTCCACAGTAGTGCAGTAAAAAGGTCACAGGAAATCAAAGCTGCAGTTTAGTGGCACAAATTCAAGTCACGTCCTATTGCCTTCCTATGCTTTAAACTGCTCACAGGCATGGCTGTGTGATGGAACTGTAGTCGTATATCAGAAGGTAACTTGAGGCTTAAAAGATGCATGCAGATAAAGACAGGGACAGGAAGCTAGGTCTGCCAGCTGAGCTGAGCACCACAGCACCAACATTGAGTGGAAATGGTAGTTAGGTGAGCAAGAGCAGGATCAGACTCTGGGCCTAATGGCTGTACAGTATAAATACGCTCCAGGCGTGTTGAAGTTGTCATGGAGGCTTATTGGAGTAGCATGGAAGAAGCAGCTCATTCCTAAGTCACGAAGAAGCGCAGGGGGGATTTTTATCCCCAAGGAGAAAGATTCAGTTGAAGTAGGGCAGTTTAGGCCTATTTGCCTTCTGAATGTAGAAGGCAAAATTTTCTCCAGTGTAGTGGCACAAAGGTTGTCAAGCTGTTTAGAAAGGAATAAGCTCATTGACACCTCAGTGCAGAAAGCCGGAATACCAGGTTTTTCTGGATGCTTGGAGCACACAAGCATGATCTGGCACCAAAATCAGTCAGCAGAGGGGGGAAAAAAAGATTTGCATGTGGTGTTCCTAGAACTAACACCTTTGGTTCCGTACCACATACCCTACTGTGGGAAGCATTAGCTTCTTTTAAAGTACCACACTTAGTTAAAGGGCTACTGAGAGAATATTTTCAGGAGGTAGGCATCATGGCAGGATGTACAGTCTCACCGCTGTTTACCATGGCAATGGAGGTTATTATTAGGGCACCTAGATGGATTGCAGGTGAAGTGAGGCTTCCGTCAGGGCAAGTTGCCACCCATAAGAGCGTACATGAAAACCTAATGTCTAAAATACAAAAGCCATGTGCATCACATGAATGTGCTTTGTAAATTTTATATCAAAATCTAATGAGTGGATTTCAATAAAGTTTTGTGCAAAGTGAAAATGTTGTGCTTTTCTCATCAAAATCATTAGTTTCTATCCTTTTCAGACAACTTTCAAGCTGTTGAAATCTTACTTTGGGCCCACAGACTGACATCACCATGAAGGTCTCTCCTACAACTTCCAATTGGCTTATAGTATTGCACTTCAATATTGCAGTGGCCTATTGTATGAATTTAAAACCCATGTATCAGAAATACAAGTACATTTGAAATGCATCTTAAAGGCTGCACTACAGTTAATCAATTCATTTTCTAACTTATAAGTGAGGAAAATAATCAATGCCAGTAGCTCTGTCAAAGCTGAAAGACAATGGCAGAAGATGCTACTGAGTTGCATTATGGGATGGGTAGAATCCAGCCTATGTGGAATTTGACCCATACAAGGGACTAAATTCTGGGTTCTCTCTTCCTCTGTTGCCTCAGTTCTGACCACTGATTTTTTAAATGTGTCTTTGCAAGCATATTAAGTTTGTAGAAGTCCACCACTAAGTCACTAAAGCCTATAACCATGATTAGGATCAAAATCCTAACAGAGCGCAAGTACCTTTACACATGCAGATGGAGCAGCCTTTCCTGTTCCGTTGATAGCCGTCACTGCAGCGCTTGTCACACGTGAAGGGGGGACACTTGACACAGCGACACATCTCACAGCCATGCTTGTTCCTCCTGAAAAAAAACACCTGAATAGCATGTCAGGAAACAGACACAGCCACTCTTGTGCAGCTCAAAAAGATTAACATTACAAATACCTCCAAGATGAATGTAGGTCTGTGGTGCAACATGGTGTTATCATACAGTGAAACACAGGTGGTCAGGTCGGGTATAATCAACATCTGGACATACTTTTCCCCTCTCCATACAAGCTTTCTTTGATAAAAGGCCAAATAAAAGGCCAAAATGTGAATGGCACATCATACCAATGCAAAGACTCTGAAAGAAGAAACCAAAAGCCAATTCTGATGCCTCCAATTCACCTTGTTGCTATTCTTATTGTTCCAAAAGCAGATACATGGTATTAGAGCACCCAAGAGCAGAGGTCAGATAAGAACATAGGCATGTGGAAAAGGGCCATCTCATGGCCAGGTATACCTTAATGTAAATTAAGTGACCAGAAGAGAAACTCGAGCAGGTTGTTGCCCCATTCAAATGAATGTGAAAATTCTACTTCAGCATACTTTCAGTTAGCAAAACCATTCAGATGTCAAAATGTTCAGCATTTTCAGGGTGATCTTTCAGCAGTCAGCATCCATACGCATTTTCTTCAGAAAATGTATTTTTATAGTTACTATTCTGGTTTCTACCACTGTTTTTTGGCACTTAACTCATCCCGTATTCTTTCACCTAGAACAACCATTGAGGTATCAAACTGTTCAGCTTATTCAGGACATGTGCGTTTGTATTTTTCTTGTCTGTAACATTTATAGTTTTTAATAAATTCAGCTTTTTGCACAAAAATTTCCCCATTGAAAATGAATGGGACAAAGTTTGAACCTTAATATCTCCAGCATAGCTTGTGCTAGAAACGCCATTTCAACTCTGTTCAACTCAGCTACCACTACTACTACTTTTGAAATATTTAAATTTATTTTGAAAATCTTGCCCCATTCAAATGAATTGGATAATTTTACCTCACCATACTTTCAGCTATTTCAGGTATCAAAATGTTCAGCTCTTCACGGACATTCATGCTTCTATTCAGAATTTTTTTTAAACTTCCAACTCTAGACATATTTAGCTTTATTTTGAAAATCTTGCCCCATTCAAATGAATTGGATAATTTTACCTCACCATACTTTCAGCTATTTCAGGTATCAAAATGTTCAGCTCTTCACGGACATTCATGCTTCTATTCAGAATTTTTTTTAAACTTCCAACTCTAGACATATTTAGCTTTATTTTGAAAATCTTGCCCCATTCAAATGAATTGGATAATTTTACCTCACCATACTTTCAGCTATTTCAGGTATCAAAATGTTCAGCTCTTCACGGACATTCATGCTTCTATTCAGAATTTTTTTTAAACTTCCAACTCTAGACATATTTAGCTTTATTTTGAAAATCTTGCCCCATTCAAATGAGTGGGACACTTCTACTTCCACATACTTTCAGCTATTTCAGCTATCAAAATGTTCAGCTCTTCAAGGACATTCATACTACTATTCAGAACTTTTCAAAACTTCATACATTTTAAATATGTAGCTTTATTTTGAAAATCTTGCCCCATTCAAATGAGTGGGACACTTCTACTTCCACATACTTTCAGCTATTTCAGCTATCAAAATGTTCAGCTCTTCAAGGACATTCATACTACTATTCAAAACTTCATACATTTTGAAATATTTAGCTTTATTTTGAAAATTCAAATGAATGGGAAACTCCAACTTCAGCATAATTTCGGCTATCAAAAGCATTCAGGTGGCAAAATATTCAGCATTATCAGGGCGATGTTTTTGCACTCAGCATCCATATGCATTTTCTTCAGAAAATGCAATTTTCTAGTTTTCTAGTTATTATTCTTCCGTACGTTTTTTTGGCCCTTAACTTGTTCCGCATACTTTCAGCTAAAAAAAACCATTCAGGTATCAAAACGTTCAGCTTTTTCAGGACATGTGCGGATGTATACAACTTTTTTGTAACAACTTTTATACTTTCTGAACTATTCAGCTTTATTCTGAAAATTTTGTACCATTCAAATGAATAAGAAAATTTTACTTCTACATACATTCCGCTATTTCAGGTATCAAAATGTTCAGCTCTTGAAGGATATTCATGCTTCTCTTCAGAATCTTTCTGAACTTCATACTTTTAAAATATTTAGCTTTATTTTGAAAATCTTACACCCTTCAAATGAATGTGAAAATTCTACTTCAGCATAATTTCAGCTATCAAAATGTTCAGCTCCTCAAGGACATTCATGCTTCTCTTCAGAATTTTTCTAAATTTCATACTTTTAAAATATTTAGCTTTAATCTGAAAATCTTACCCCATTGAAATAAATGGGGAAATTTCAACTTCAGTATACTTTCAGCTAGCAAAAGCATTCAGGTGTCAAGGTTCAGCATTTTCAGGGCGATTTTTCAGCACTCAACATCCATACGTATTTTCTTCAGAAAATGCAATTTTCTAGTAAAATATTTGCAACCTGCTTTGGATGAATATAAACCTTTAAATTTTGAATACATGCAGTACTTGTCTAGATATTTAGTATAAACACAAAGATCCTTTGTGCTTTTTGTTTCTTTTGTGGTGGCTGCATGCAGGAATACTGAATAAGAAGACAGACCGAGACTGTAAGGCTGCCATGCTCTCAGAGGATTTTAGACTTTGAGGCTAGATCTAAACAGCTGCTTATGAAGGACTTCCTGCTTCTCTTTTCCCTGCAGGTTTCATTCATCCTCTCTCTACTTTCCTCTCCTCTGGAATCCTGTGCAGACACATCGGTACCATCTTGCGCCATGGCTTTAGAAAGTAAGGCTGAGATTCCAGAGGAATCCCAACTGTATGTAGAATAATAGGCATTTTTTATTCTGTGTATTTGATTGCTGTTTTGATAACTGATTATAACCTATGGAATGTGAGCAGATCCTGGGGACCAGGCATCCCAGTAGAAAGCACTGCCGGATGTTTGATTCCATTAGATGGAATTAGGAGAGGAGTTGTAGGGGACCGAGAGGCCAATGTGGACCTCACAGTGAATTAGTCGCACACAAACCTGCACACAGTCACACAGATTCAGAGACCTGAAACTTGCCACCAAGGTAGGCCCTTTGATCTGGGATGCCAAACTGCTGTTGCAATAGCCTGTCACACTTTCTTTTGAACAGGATTAAACAGGCACTGGCCTCTACACGTCACCTCATAATAAGTATTAACCATTTACCTACAGGAGGTGACAATGAGAAAATGACTTTAGTTTTCATAAATTCTATTAACAAAGCTCACACAGGTGATGACACAACTTCCAAGAGTACAGAGTTCATTGTTCATCAGGAAATTGATCACTTGTCATTGACATAACAATTTCCAAAGATTGCTATCCACTTAATTTTTCCGTCTTGTGTATATACAAGTATAAAGTTTCCTCATATAACTACATTTTATGTCACTGACAGCCACAGATGCCTTTAAACAGGTTGAAAACACAGATAAGTAATGAATGCAACTGGACTTGTGCAATGGGAAATCCACAGAGTCACTGGGTGCACTTACACATATCCATAGGGGCAGGTCTTACTGCAGGTCAGAGGCCGGCACTTTGGCGTGGGAACGTCGCACTCACACATCTCACAGTTGCACATTTCTGTGTTAGAAACCATTAAAAAGACTGTATCCATGGATGCAAATAAGCCATGATGAACATAAACATAGACTTTGCCAATGCAATTTTTCCACATCAGAATGAGAAAACGGGTAAGGACAGGAAAATACAGATGGCATTGTCCATCTACCAATTGCAAGAAGCAGCACTGGCAGAGGAAATTTACCATTTCACTAATTTGCATCTGCAGGTCAGTCCCTGAGACTAACATTTTAAGATTCAATGTAAATTTAGAAAGTAACTTACTGTTGAGACACCGGCAGAGGAGACATCCATTTTTGTCTTGTTCAAAGCCATTGGGGCAGTCGGTTCCTGACAGGGAGCAGTTTTCCAGAGGAGGACATAACATGGGGCTAACTGTTTCATAAGAAGGCTCTGCAGAGCAGAAGAGATGACGGTGATGAGGGTAAGAACTGTGTACAAGTGTAAAAGTATGAAAAATATACAACAAAAAGAAAAGATTACTTATCTTTGTGTGTGTGTGTGTGTGTGTGTGTGTGTGTGTGTGTGTGTGTGTGTGTGTGTCCCAGGATGCCCTCAGGTGTAAAACCTCATCTATGCTCTTTGTGCCAAGTGTAATAGCTACCTATTTACACAGCCCTTATTTTGGAGTAAACAGTAATTACAGATAAATGTAGAGCAATTACATCGGGGTGGGTCGCACTGTAAGGGGGATCATACCTCTTATTATGTCTGATTGTGTGGAACTGCCTCTATTAATAAGGTGAATGTATCTAGAAACCTTGTAATAGCTCTACTGATGAATAGTATGCCCCCTAGACTAAAGGCAGACTGACACTGCCCAAACCTTCTTGAGACTCTGACACTGCCTGAGTCCGAACCTTCTTGAGACTCTGACACTGCCCAAACCTTCTTGAACCAGCACCAGTGTTACTGTGAACCACCAGTACATCTCATATATGCACCACAGCTATTCCTATCAAACACCTTTTGCCACATTCAGTGGGAGGAGCAGTCTAGCGAGCTGCAACCAATTACGCTCACAAAAAAAAACAAAAAAAAAAACAATCCACTTCAATTATGCAGCGTCCTGCGTTAAAAGCATGCCTGAGGCTCGTGCATACAGGTGGATCTCATTTTGGTGGGCAAGGGTAATAAAGGAACACAAAGAACCCTGCAGCTTGAAGAATGTTCTGTGGCCTCCGCTTTAATGCCAAAATGACCTCTGTAGCAAAGCTGCGGGGCCACAGGGACCTCCTACATCTAGTAGGTGGAATACAGTACATGGTGTTTGGCTTTAAGATCAACACAGCTCACCTTCACAGAAGGGACAGCACTCTCCAGGGATCTTGACAGGGTTTTGGCAGCTCTGTTTGCAGGCCATGGCCGTACAGTGCGGTTCTCCATCCACACACTGGCAGAAAGTGCAGTCATCCTCTTTCCACTGCTCCTCATGGGCTCGCAGCTTATTATTCACCCAGCAACTGGCCTTGGTGCTGTCCATGGAGAGCAGCTCCACATCTAAGATGAAAGAAAATGACATACACACTGTAAAATGATGTGAGAGGATAGAAGAATCTGTGATTTGATTCATGAACGGAATTCAACCCAAAGCTACAGTTCAACAGCAGAATGAGTGAGAGCAGACCTAAAGGATGCAGGACACTCCACAAGGGAGCTAACAAGATATAGAAACTGGCTTGTCACCAAGAGCTATGGAGACAACACAGCTACATTTGAGTGACTTATTCAAATTCATAAACATTGAGAGACTCATATTCGCTGGTGTCCACTCACATATTTGTCAAAAGATTAAAGTCATCTGTGTGATTTTTTTTCAGCTGTGACCCTTTAGGGTCAAAGGCAAGGTCAGCGTTTGATTCCATAAGTTTCACTCCAAAGTAAAGTTTGGGACAGTTTAAAAGCTAATCTGTGCAGCCACTCTGCTCAGCTTGAAGTGATGTATGATGCCTGAGCCTTGTTTTGGGAGCCTTTCTATTATTTACTATACAGTTTAAAATGTTTCCGTTACACATTTTATAACAAAGGCAGGTTAGAAAGTAGTCTGAGCACTTTCACCGTGTGCCCGTGTGAAACAAAGGAGTGTACATATTGTGGTATGTTGACATGCTCAGAGGTTCTGTCCATCTGGCAGTGATTAACCTGAACAGGACCTATTTTTCTTTCTTCTATTATTCACCCTTTGTCTCACTGTGTACACTTACACATACATGTCAGACCATATCATGTAAAATGTATTTAAGCTTTAAAGGGTCATTCCAGAATTTTAGCATTTCACTTCCATGAAGGTGGAGATTTGCGAGATAAGAGTGCGTGAACGTATTGCAGCAGAGGCCTAGGTATGAAGGCGGTTTTCTCTCCAGTACTGTTCAAGCTCCAAAACCCCTGCAGCCTACACTTCCCGTAATCCAGAATTTTTCAGTTAAAAATTGGTCTCCTGCATCCAGAGATTACACTTCAGCAATTTTCACACCCTTGACAAAAAATTTTTTCACAGGCTAGGTTCTACGATCTTGCCATCAAGTTTTCATTGTTAAAAAGTACTTCAGCTTCAAAACCACAATGTAATACACAGGCAACCAACAGATTTCTTTTGGTAAGTTAGTTCTGAAAATGCTTTCACAATTTGTCTTTTAGGGGGTTAAGACAAGCTGAACACATCAAGGACCCATTATTATCTTGTTATAGCAAATGTGCTGGCAAACTGTTTGCTACACATCTGCAGCAATATCACCACTTACTTTTGACATTTGGACTGTTTCTTGCTATCTGAAATCTAAATCCAATATTCACTTTCCACTTAGCTCTGTTTTGGTTCCTGGGATGGTAGCATACAAAACCTTTTTGACTAAACAGTTGTCATCCCCTGCTGTAAGCAATACTGATGAGAGAGTTAAGAATGATCCAAAACAGTCGAATTTTGGATCATTCTGTAGTAATAGTACTGTAAAACCAGTACTATTAGCTGAAAGACACTAAAGTGCTCCATACACATGATGGGAAATAGAGAGCCTGTTTTGTTTTTTTGTTTTTTTTGTGGTCTCATCATTACAAGCAACCTCTTTCACATTTATCTATTGTTAATATAGAAACAAACTAAGTATAATCACAGCCAAGAAAGTTTTAATTTATCTCTTAATACATATTAAAATGATTATGGCCAGTGTTCTCCACAGTGAGCTATACAATAAGTAAGAGCAACTTTCCTTAAGAAAAAGATAAAAGCATTCCATCTAAATGCCTGCACATTCCAGGTGTAACTCCAGCACTGACTTAACATGATCCCCTCTGCAGTCTTGCTCTTCCCTTTCTCTTATGAGCCTGATCAACCGTAGCCACGCAAGCAGAGGCTGAACCTGGCTACCCTCCTCACCCACAGCCTTCTGGCAGACTGTAATGTGGTCGCCATATGCGCTTGCGTACCCTTTTTTTTTTTTTTTTTTTAAAGATCCCAAGTGTCTGTATCAGAGATCCCTTCCTGACTTTGGGCACATATGTTTTTGCAAATAGAGTCACCCTATTAAACCAGGGCCAGATATTACAAAAAGCTGTGCACTCTGAAGGAAGGCTTTATGTTCTCCACAGTGGAAATGAATCCCTGTCTGATTCTCTTAGTCACTTATTAGTGTGACTCTTGTGTACTAACAAACTGGTTACATGAGGAAGCCATAAGAGTTACTGGAAGCAAGTTTCAGATTTCGACATCACCTCTACCCATCTTTCAGTATTTTTTTTTTACGTTGTTAATGAGCCATCCAGAACTTCTGCATATTTAAACCTCAAAAACACAAGTGCAAAGCGGAATCTCACAATTTTAGCAACGTGATGTTCAGCATTTAGTTGCTGTATCTTAACAAAATAATAACAGAAAGGTGTGTACCTATGCAGACAGGGCAACACTCGCCCTCTGGAATGTAGAAGTTTTCACAGTCCAGCTCAGCACACTCTGCCTTGGAGCAGAAGGAGATTCCTGCCCGGCACTGACACAGCCAGCAAGGGTCCATGCGATACACCTCCCCCTCTGAGAACTCCTTCCCATTGTGGACACACTTGGGAGAGACTGAGAAGAATAAAGGATAAGAGTCAAAGAGATAGAGCTGACCTTAAAGTGAATACCATGTGGGGATTATGATGCTAACATACTGTGCTGACAACTAAGCGCAATGCACACATCACATTTGACAAGAATTAGCCTCAGAGGTTTCTCCTTATAATTATATGAGCAGTTTATCACAATGTTACCGGATGAGTGAGAGATTATCGTTACTCTGTTCAATCAATTACAAATTCATAAACATCTGTTCATTTTCTGCTAGTGATGGCAATGTTTTGCCTGAACCAAACGATCCCGAGGTAGACGCTGATGGCCGAGGATAAGCCTGTGGTGTGGAATGGCATTATCAGACAATGATACAAAGTCCGTTAGGAGGAATTTCATAGGGATCCATCAAGTCCTGAAAGGCACTGGTCTCGTGCAGTGCCGAGTAAAACAAAACAGTAGTGATTCTGAGGCTTTGGCAGGATCTGGGTTCAGTGTGCTGGTGGCAGGTTGAGTGAATCAATGCTCGGGCCTGCCTTTCCCATAAAGCCCTGAGAATCTCATTTAGCTGCATGTTCCCAACTATGGAATAAAATAGCTTAGTTATAGCACTGTTGGAAAACTAAGGCTTGATCTTATGTACAGACAATAGGCCCAGTAAAACCTGAATATGCACGGGAATGTGTTTCAGAGAGAAAAATAAAACAAATAACCATAGTCGTACTGTCAAATGTGATCAGTCAATTAAAATCAGTGGTGGTAGTTTTGTGGCCAGTGATAATACTAGACTATATATTTGAATGTACCACTTGGGTGACTCAACATTCATTCATTCATTTTCTACCGCTTAGTCCCTGAACGGGGTCACGGGGGGGCGGAGCCAATCCCGGCCGGCAATCGGGCGAAGGCGGGGTAAAATAGGAATATGTGTAACACTGGATAACATCAGGTCAGGACGCTGCTGCCAGGTCCACTCTGCCAACCCATCTACAGCAGCTCTGTAACCAAACAGTGGAAAGACTATCATTGATGGGGGGGGGGTTGAAAGGCAACTTATATGTTTAAGTTAAAGTATGTGTAGCTGGGTGGTTTGAAAGGCAACTTGTATGTTTAAGTTAAAGTATGTGTAGCTAGTGCTTTGGGGTTTCTGCAGGACAGGGGAAGTGATGGGTCCCAGTGTGTACCCCTGTCCATGTCACTGGAGCTTTCTGAAACAGCAGCAGTCATGCAGGCCTAACAAACAGTGGGGGCAGCACAAAAGGCATCAAGCCCCAGATTCAAAGAGCAGCAGACACTTGTTATCAAAAAGCTGATCCCCTGGCCCCCACGACTGCCATTCAGCCCCAGCCGACCTGCCAGACTCGATCACCCTCCCCACTGGCAGATTGGAGCACATAAAAAGCATTCCCATCAATGAACTGCTGAACTTTTCCCCCTTTGGACGTGTGACCAGACAGGAACCCTTTGGCACTGCACTTCTGTTGAGCAAATTCATAGCCTAAGCACTTTTCTGGTCACTGGGCTCGTTAAGTCCATTAATTCCAGGACACGGCACTCATTTCTAAATGTGGATGGGCAGAACGGGAATTTGTCCTGTTGGTAAAACATCGAATATTTGTTGGGAGTGCAAAGTAAAGAGACCAATACCACAGGTCTCCTCCCCACCTTCCTGACAACCAAGGGCACTGAAGCCTCCTTATATGTGATCAATTTCAGAATCTGTTTACATTACTTCTTCTTGACTGTATTCACCAGGTATAAAAAATATAACCATTGAAATATTTGTGGATAGAGACCTGCAAATATCTTTGAACCATGATCTTATTCCTTTAAAGTGTCTACCCAACAGTAATTATCCAATCAGCAACTTTCCCTTCCATCAGCAGACATTTGGTCAGCAAATCCTTGCTCTAAACAAAATAGTTGCCTCTTTTCCTCAAAGGTGGTGAATCTCACACTGACAGTGGCCAGTGGGAGACCAAGTGAAACAGAATGTAGTGTGTAGTTCAGTGCAATCACCTTTTTGGCACTCAAAGACATCACAACAGTCTCCTGGCTGACCGCTGGCCTGGCTGAGTGGCACTACTCGATGTCCGCTAGGGCAATGGGGCCTGGGGCAGGCACTGAGGTTGCATGTGCACTGGGGAGGTATGGAGGGGCAACAGTCAGCAGGGGGCGTGTAACTCTTTGTCAGGACTGAACCCTTGGGGCAGGAGGGCACCCGGAGAGTAGAACACATCACCCCGGCACATCTAAGCTCATCTGAAAAACAGATATGGATGCACGTTCACATTAAAATACAGCTTACAATATATGTAAACAAAAACAGTGACAGCTTTTAAACCTTTTTAAATTTTCTTCTCCCTCTGTAAGATGTACTGTAACACCACCCTCAACTGCTCTAGATGCTGATAGCGCCCACACTGTTCTCCTAGTGGAAGCAGGGCTTGCAAATGTGTGCGAGTGTTTCAGTTGAGTAGAGTCTGTCGAGTTCACGCAGTCAACAGACACAAATTCAGGTCCCCACTTCAGTCCCCGACAGCTTTACAGCATCCTGTTGGAGAGGTGAGCGGCACTCTAGACATGACAAGACTTTCTGCATATCCTGTATATGGCTCTGATCCCACCCAGCCAGACTTGACTCACCCACAATCCAAACAGCCACTCGCGCTAAAACCAGTCATTAATTCCAGCCAACCATCAACAGTGTGTTTCTTCTTTTTAGTTTAGAATCTCCCTGTCACTTGGTATACCAGGAAGTCTGTTCATTTGTCAGAGCCTGTATAATAGCTCCGATACCCCTTTTGGTATCAGTGCCCCTCTGTACAGGCATTGCATGATGACAGTAGCTACTTTATAGAAACTGGGTTACCCAAACCAAAGGGATGTTTATTTTGGTTCTCAGTGTAACTGTAACATATACAGTGCTGGCAGAAGAGAGAGCAGAGAAGATTCAACAGCACTCTGACATCTAAGTGAAAAATGGGCAGACTGTATTAAATAGCACAGAAATGATGGATGACACTGTGGAAAATCTGATAATTGTACATCTAGTTTAAATCATCACTGACATTTAAAAGATAAATCGTCAACAAATGACTGCCTTCTAAGAAAGTTAATTTAGTGGATGGTGATTTATTTATGAAGAATACTTAATCTCTGCATAAATATGGTTTCTGAGGGATGAGGGTTGTATAACAGTGTTATAATGCAACACCTGTCTCAGAGGATGTGCCTCATCCCTGACTTTAAAGCCCGTAAACGGATCCCTCTGGTTGTTGCCACCATGTGGGGAAACAGAACCGGTGAGCACTTCTGGATCCTGACTTCTGATTCCCTGATAATGGTTCTGCTCTGCCGGTCCTCTGAATCAGACGTTACATTTTCTGACTTCTCTCATCCTTCAGCCCTGCATTCTGGCCAGTTGCTCTGCTGGCATTGCAGTTAAGTAACTGTTGAATGTCTACCTAACCTAGAATAAACATGGGGGGAATGGGGCTGTAAGACTAACTGCTGCATTTTGGTGGGTCAGGGTAACATTTCTGACAGATGAAATTGAGGAAAAGGGAAATGTTGAATTTTTCTGGCTCCATATAAATAGAGCAAGAGTGTGAGGTATCTGTAATGTACTGTTTACTCAAGAAACCTGGGAACAGTGAGGACTACTACAAAGTTCTCATTGATTAACTCTGTAGCTGAATAGTGTCATAGAAAATGAGGGGGGGAAACTACTGAATTAAGAAAGGCTACAACCCTTTTAAAGATTTTTGGCATCAATTCTTTGCTGGAGTTAAACTTCAGTTGGAAGTGTTGACTGGCAAAGGTTTTACTTACAAGAAATTCTAACAGTCTGCTGCTGCTCAGTTAAAGACCAGTTTTGCATATGAAAACCTCACACTGTTTAAAGCCATAGAAAATGCCCAGGGACGTTCTCGCGCAGCATTCTGCACTGAAGACCACTTTCTGTGTGTTGTATGAAAGCTGATTACTCTTTCAGTTGTGATAATGGCTGGGGTTAGAGTGTGGTGGGAAAAGCAGCTGGCAGGCACACATTGTTATTCAAATAAAGAGCATTGTAGCCATCTGTGGAAATACCCGACCCTCGTAGGTGCGACTAACAGAACTTTATAGGCAGATATAAGCAAAACAAGCATACAGAGGGTGGCCAAAGTCACCAGATAATGGATTTTATCCTGGGCTGTTTCTGTTCTATCTCTAAGCATAATTGGCTGTAATTAGTGAGCCAGAGTCCACAAAACAAATCTTTGTATGACATTGATGGCCATACTCCAGTTTGCACAGACGCAAAAGGCCGGATTTGATATGCTTGATAAAATCTCAATGCAGAATAGGCAACATATGCTCTTGTATGACTATAATACAGCAAAGAATGGAAAACCTTTGCCCTCAGTTCACAGCCTGCAACAATATATGCAGTCACACACGTGATGCTGGTCTGGAAGAGGTGGGATACGGATATTGCTTCATTACAACAGAATGGTCTCTTTTGTAAACAATGCATATTTCTGGTATCTCGGCAGCTCGTTGAAGAAAGAAAAACACCTTTCTAAATGGGGGTTTTCTTCCCTTCAAGCTAGGACACAAGGAGCACAGTCTTTATCCGAAGCAGAGAGGCTCAGCCAGGCAGAGGAGGCTGTGTTGACAGCCCGCGTTTACCCTTGGAAAAAGTGCACAATGTGAGTTCTGTTTGCAGACTGACTTTGGAAGCAAGTCAGCAGAGAACAAAGATGTCTCAGTCCAGCTGCCCTCCGTGGGTTTCTGGTCTGTCCTCAGGTTTTATAAAGTTGCTCCGCAAAGGGACACATCGGGGGCTGTCTCTCATGTAGAGCTGTGGGGGTCTGGCCCGGTGCCCACCAGTAGTTACAGCTGAGAGAGTCAGCATTGTTCACTGTGTGTATCAGCATGTGTGAGGACTGTGGAGCAGGTCTGAGAGTGGGTCCAGGCCAAAAGGCACAGACAGAATCACCAGGAAGAAAACACTTGGTGGGAGCTTCACACAAGGGTCAGAAGCTTGAGGTGCTCGAGCACAGACGCACAGCAGCTTTGCATCTGCTGCCTGAATGCCTTGCTGTCTCACTCTTTGCCTAAATATTTGCAGATGAAAACTGTGTTCTCAGTAACACTGCCGCAGCTGTGAATGGTATGTTTGAGTGAGGTAATGAGAGTGTTCAAGTGCAGGTGAACCTTTGCACAAAGATGCATTAATGTATGTTTGTGTGTGTGTGTGTGTGTGTGTGTGTGTGTGTGTGTGTAGCAAGTATACAGAGCATGTGTTCATTCCACTGAAACACACCCATTCCTTGCTATCAGATGGCCAATAAGATTAAGCCAGTGACAACTTCTAAACAGAGAGCAACATGGTCTTTTGCTATATGTGGAAAAAAATGCATATGAAAAGCTTGAACATAGCCTGTTCCAGTGTACTGTACATAAAGCCTAAACTAAACAGCTTCCATGTGCGCTATCCTTCAGAGGACACTGGATCTAAAAAAAAAAAAAAAAAAAAAAAAAAAACACAGGCCTCATTGTGAACAATAGGAGTCACCTCAGACTGCAGCTGAGGGGACTTGAATTTGTTAATTGTTATGGTTGGCTCAATAAGCTGAGATGTTATGTCTAGATTTAGTGAATGGAGTGCGCTGGATTCACAGGATAGGATTGGTCTAAGACTTAGTGTGTGTGTGTGATGGTTTTTCTTGCTGGCCTAATGCTGGCTAGCACTCTGGTTAGTGGCTGACCACAAGAAATGAAATGAAATGAAATGGTGGACAGCGATCCCAACATGCCTTTAAGGGGAAGCTCGTTTCCTTAATTGTCACACAAGAGTTTTGTTTCCTCTTTGAAACCACTACCCACACACTGGGAGACGAGCAGCTTGCAGGGTTACAACAAGGGCCACAGCTTGCGCAGACAGCGCACAAACACAGCTCCGAGACATCTCGCACCCCTGCCAATCAGTGGTGGTCTGGCTCAGCCAGTAATAGCCCTGCCACAAAGAAGCTGCAGCCAAGCAGAACTAACTGTCCTTTCACAAGGTTGGAAAGAACCGGGACTGAGGTGGCATAGGTCAGAAAGCAGATTTGTGGGAGCAGGTCGGTCTGTGCCATAACATCAGAGTGGGCACCACTTCCCTATCTGATGAAGACAGTTGTTGTTTTTTTCCTGTCAGTGAGCAACAGCAGGGGAATTCATCTGAAATAGTGGCTAAAGATCTTATCATGAATGAAATATGTAAACAATCAGTGTAAAATTACCAAAAACTACCCTACAAAGACTCTTGGGTCTACACGACACAAATACTTCAACAAAATGGTTGGCCTCAGTTGTGATTTCCTAACTTCCTGTCTACCTCCCCCCTCTCCTTCACTTATCACATCCTCATTATTTCCTGACACGTGGGGAATACATTTCTGTACACAATGTTGTTTTTCATTGAATGTGTGCAACCAAATCATATCAGCATGTTGTACACCAGCAGAGAAAGGAAAGATGTTGGGTTTTACAGTGAGTAAGAGCAGTGGGATGAGCTGACAAGATCGCCAAGTGAGTCAGAGAGAAAGTAAGGGAAAGCCGGGGCAAACCACTTCCATCTGTGAGCTTTCAACAAGAGAATCCAAGTTCCGACTGTCATTTGAAAAAGGTTTCTTGAAATGTTGCGACATACGGTCTGCTTTAGCTGTGCTGCATGCAAAAACAAGTATAATCAGAGATCTCATACCTATAGATCACACTGCTGTCACACTCTAGCAGGGCATGCTAGTCTTAACAACTTCTTGTGACAACAGGGGTTAATAGACACAGTCACCATGGAGTCCAACTGAGCTAATCAGATCTTAACCACCAAGTCCTGGTCTGGCTGCACAGAACCCTCCAACTGATGACAGGCAAAGGAAAATCTCTGCTGAGACATCTGGACAAGGATAATAAGGGTAATCACCTTTACTGGCCAAGTATGTTACACACAAGGAACTTGTTTCCGGTATAGAACTGAGGCAGCCATCTGCGTCGCCACCTCAGTGTCTTGCCCAAGGACACTTCGACATGTGGACTGCAGGTACCAAGATTCGAACCTCCAACTGAGAGACAGCTACTCTACCCAGTGAACCACAGTCGCCCTCGACAAACAAGATAACCATCACACAGACATGCGTAAATACAGATGCAGATGCTTACTTTTATAGGTTCATTACACAGGCGTGATGATACATACACGCATGCAAGTGAGCACAAGTGTGCATCGTTCCACATACATACTCACAGACATACACATCCTGGTCTCTTTTTTAATAAAGGGGCCATCAGAAGGGTGGGTGTGTGCTGCAGCGAGAACTCATAAGCTGCTGAGAAATGTTTACAGTTTACACTGGTGTGAGTTGAAACCATCAGCTTCTGAACTCAGGCTTTGAAAAGAGGGAGTTATAGGACATGGAAGACTAACAGTGCATCTTTCATCAGAACACTCGACTTCAGCATTTAAAGAATATAATGTTTGATGAACACACTTCCTGTGGGATTTAAGAGTAAAAGGCTCAAGACAAGCATCACCACAGATGTACTGTAAACGTTATGTAATAACCTCTGGGTTATTCACAGACAAAAAAGAAAAAGAAAAAAAAAAATCTCAACTACAGTATGTCTCCATGGCACAATGTCTGCTGGTACTGTCAGCACTGACATTGCAACAGTAAAGGGCCAAAATGTCCACAAATTGCAAAGAGAGGGAGAACCTTGAAAGCACCAAACTGTTTTTATCCTGGTTTTAGTAAAGCTTTCCAGGTTTCTGTCTTTAAGAAAAAGACATACCCAGCACACAGAGGCAGGTTCAGTGAGTTCACTCAGTAGCAGTCGTGTCCTATTTTGCAAATGTCACTCAGGAGAGAAGCGACACCTCGCGCCTGCCTGCCTATCTACCACACACCTCGCAATCCAAATGAGGGAAATAAACTCTCACTGTGCCAATAATGTTTTTCACTTCGAAGTGTCAATCAGGGAGGTTGCTAGGAGCAGGTAATCACACATTCTTCTCACACTTCAGAGTATTCTGTTTTACCTCAGTCACCAGACAAGCATTCATCTTACCCACTATACATGATGTATAAGGATCTCCACAGCTCCAGCCATCCATCCATCCATCAACCCCTTTTCTTGTAATGGAGACTTTTTCTATTTTTGCTTCTCCATCAGTCACACCTTCTCTCTTTCATTCTCTTCCCTCCTCATGTTGTTGTCACAATATAAATCATGCACTCATTGCTTTTCTCCCTCCTTGTCTTGCTTTACTTTTCCCAACATCTACACTTTATCATAGAAAGTGCAGTGTGCATTATGCTTTCTGCCTGTTGATCTTTCACAGGTACCAAAATGGTTTGTTTTCACTGGTGGGCGACAATATGCTTCACTTCCAAGATAATGAGCTGGGACATAAGGAATGCTGTGGCTGTGCTCCACTTGATTTGTACAAGAAAAAGGTGAAACTTCTAGCAGGCAGACCTGTAATGCTGTTAACATCAATGTTTGCACGAAGCATGGTGAAAGACAAAAAAAAAAAAAAAAAAAAAAAAAAAAAAAAAATTTATCTGTTTTTCAACAGTACCTTTAGTCACAGCCTCTCGGGTATAAATTCTCATATGCTAACACTAAATAACTGCTACTAGTGTGGCTGCTGTGTGGCTGCAGTTTCAGGTCATTTGAAGGGTACCTGCTGCTTCCTGGCACTGGCTGCGGTTGATGTAGGCAAAGTGGTGGTGGCAGCTCTGAGACTCACACACACACCCCTCGGTGGTCAGGTTACACCCAGAGAACATGCAAGCTGGGTTGGAAGGTCCCACATACTTCTCTCTGTGTCTTTCCCTGTGCTCGTGCCTCCAACTCCCTGAAATCCAGCCGTGGACACACACACACACACACACACACACACACACACACACACACACACATCAATGAGTTGCTCTCAATAAAAGGTGAGTAGAAGGTCACTAGACAAAGCCTTAGCTAGTGTGTCATCACTATGATATGCAAGTGGCATTAGTCACCTCAGAGCGATACCTGTTATGGATCAGCGCCTCTCCAAAAACAGACTAACTCAGATTCTAATCTCATGCGTGCATAGTGTTTTGACATTATGGAAGACAAAGGCTCACCTGACTTGCTGGCTTTCATGCAGGCTTCTCGGTCTGGGTAGGTGAACAAGCCCAAACATGAATGGCGGGCATCACACACACACTGTCCCCCAGTCATGTCACAACCTGTTATCAGGGGACAACGCTTGTCCTCAAGTCCCGTCTCTGGATGGTCAGGGAGCACTGCAAGGGGACAGTAGGAAAGAATATTAACTTCATTCAGACTTGTTCATCCATTTAGACTGGAAATAAACTGACACTGGACAGCGCAACAGTTAATCACAAGGCAAAATGTACCAGAAACCAAAGATCTGTGGTGAACCCAGCCCACTGCCTCTGTTGCAATGCACTGCCACAACCATTACTGAAGTGACCAGTGTATTTGTGGGCTGCCATCCCTCCTCCCTCCTTATCGTGCCACACTGCTTGATCCATTGAGCCCATTTGTTTGCTTTTGTTCAACAGCATGGGGCCCTCCCAGGGTTTCCATCTCTGCTGCTTGCGTGAACGCCTCTTTTATACCAAGGCAACTTGGACCATACCCACATATTGTTCCTTTGCAATAGTGAGCCTCCCCCCCAACCTCACCCCCACAGAGGGCACTGTGAGGTTTAGCTCAACTTGGCCGAATCTTTACGATAGGAAGGAATGTACGACAGAGTGAAGTGGCACGCTAACACCATGTGATCTGAATATCCTCCAAAAAAAAAAAACAACCCAGGATTAAAAAGGGCCCCAACATACACATCAGCCATAGTATTCCTTTCACATTCCTACATGAATAAAAACATATGTATACAACCCCAAATTACCCCCTTTCATAGCTGTCCAAGAGCAGTAAGAGTGGCAGCAGAGTAAAGAGGATGAGACAAACTGTAACGTAGAGTAACCCATTCCCAAGCCTTTAGCGCGCATGCTTCAAATTGACAGCACGGAAGCATGATTGGAGTCTTTCATAATACTTGGGCTTTCTTGTCCAAACAGCTATGTATCAGAACAATGCACCAGAGGAAAAGGTTTAACTTTCCAATACAAGAAACACTTGACATATTTATCTAACTACTGTAGCGGTCCTACCTGAAATAAAGTCTTGTAAAAGAAAAAACCTCATAAAATGGGATGACTCATAGTGAACATAATGAAACTAAATTGCATTCAAATGCTGTAGATTATAATAAAACACATACTGATCCACACCGATTTTAAAAAAGCCTGTTTCTTACTGTAATAAATTTTACTGCTGAAGTGAAACAACATGGCTGCATAAGCTAGCATCCATGGAAACAGGAGTTAAAGTTGGCAATGTGGAAGATTCCAGGGTGATGCAGCATGTTCAGCGGCCCTACAGTAACCAGTGAAAGGAGTGATGTAATACTAGCTTTAACCTAAGCCAGTCTGTGTTGTTAATAGCTCTCCCAGACAGCCAGCAAGTCTGGCAAAGCAGAAGCAACTTTTTCAATAATCCACAACCAAACTTTGTCATTTCCTTTCACCACAAAATGCTCCTCACCTCCACAGTGTTTCCATCCTAAATCCTCCCTGTGCCTGGGAGGGTATTTGCATTTGCAATAGTGGTAGTCTATGTGGGGTGCTAAATCTGGTATGTAGCAAAAACAATTAATGAGAGGCTGGACACCAAACACATTGTCTCATGAACTAATTTTAGCTTGACCCCAGTCAGCTGAGTTTGCTGATTTGTCTCAGCCTGGCTAGTACCCTTCAGACTGACCCTGGTCTGTTCTGGTCTTGCCTGGTTATCTCTTATCTGGCCTGGCATGACTCTAGCCAAGGTCTATGGCTTCATCCCAAGGTGGGGGGGGATTCCTCTGTTAGTCACTGAGACTGCTTGTCTTGGCATCCAGAGCCAGGATGGGAAAGCTGACCTCTAGAGGGCTCCTGGCTGATAGCAAGCTAAAAAGAAGTCTTTGAAACACAAGATAATGCCAGATGAATGGTAGAAGGCATATGAAGGAGTGCAATGGACACAGTGTTCATGTAGGAAAGCCATTCTGGTACGTGTTATGTTAAGTGCCTCTGGAGCTTGAAGAAACTTGGTGTGGGAGGACAGACACATGAGTATAGTGAGAACATCAAAACAAGTCATTTAGCTGCTGAGACGAAATGGCTTCACCTGACTGACAGAATCTGGTCACTGAAGCAGATTTGTTACAGTTAAAGGCCAAGAACTCTTTCTGAAAACAGGTGCAAAAGGAAACGCTCAACTTGGAACCTGATGCTACTACATTTCATTGCGTTTTTCACATTTTTTTTTGTGTTTAAATGCCAGACTTCTTCATGGGAAAAGTTGATTCAAATATCCCAGGTATCATTTTTGGCAGCCTGCAACCTTCAGTTTTGGCCTCATTCAATATCTGGTTAATTCATCTTCAAAAGTAGTTGGGAAACAAAACATGATAACATTAAAAGCTCTTCCAGGCAATTGACTTCATAGTCCTTCTTGATACTGGTATCTTGCATAACATTTCCAGGTCTGGAAAACACAGCACTCACCGACGACTGCAGCATCCCACTGACTGAGGCAACACTAGAGTGTATAATTGATATATATTCCAGTAGGGGTTTCAGTCAAGACAATGGATGATAACAGTTTGATTCCTGATGTAATATGTCACTTGTGATACAAGGTTGTTGCATCTCCACACTAACAGATTTCAACCACCTAAAAAAAAAATCAAAACAGTGAGCAAAAAAGACAAGGGAAACGGAAAGCAATTATGAACCTAATCACTTTAAGACCCTTGCAGCTTGAGGAGGGAAATCTTGGATCAGCCTCCAGCAGCCTGCCTACTGTTGCCCCTGAAAACACACTGGGGGCTGTTGATCTACCCCCACCTAGACCCTCTGAAATTTATACAGAGGCCTCATCGTATACATGTGTCTGATTTAGAGGTCAACAGCGTGCTCCAAGGCCCCTTGGAGCCACTAGGTCTCCTATTCGAACCAAAGCTGTTCATTTGCAGAGATGTCCGCCGCATCAGCTTAACCTGTACATGAGGCACAATCAGCAGCAACGTCTCATGGGATGTCCTGGGGCTTGAGACCACTGACAAACCATTGTAGAGCCCTGACCTAGATCACACCATGGAAGGATGACAGGTGACCAGGGTCAGGGGGTACAGACACCCACTGAGAGCTACTTTCTCTCCCCTACAGTCCTGTCAGTCTTCTTCAATCTTCCCAAAAAAGGCTGGACACAGTGCAGGTGGAAGAGATTGGGTGCTGGGTGCTCATAGGGTCCTCTGCTCCTCAGAGGAAGGATATTGGTACCTACTCCATTCACTGTGAGAAACCTGCTGCTCTACACATTTATTTGAAGTCCAGAAAGTTGCTCAAATTGGGCATAAAAAGAGCACAGCCACAGTTTAACAGCCTGACTCTGCTTGGCAGGAAAACAAGAGTATAGCACTGTGGAATTACAGGAATGCGAATGACCCCCCACTCCTCGAGAACTTTTGCATTGGTGCTGTCAAACCATTTACAAATCTAAGTTACATACAATTAATACAGGCAAGACAAGGACAGCTTTTTTTTTTTACTTACAGTGTATTCCAAGTTTAAAAACGCAATCATTGTTGGTCACCTAAGAACGGGACCAACTAGATCTCAAGTGTGTGCCAAACTTATTGTCATGGTTCTGAGATGAATATGACTCCTCAAGAGCCCTTCAGACCTGAGCAGCCCAAGACAAGGTCAACACTGACACAATTACTGCAGTCTGGTTGAATAGTGATGCTCTCATGACCACCTGAAGGAAGAGGATGGCGTGTTTAACCTAACACGCACACTCAACTGCATGAACACACTTTTGTTTATTGATTTAACAAATATAACATTTTAACGAGGTTCACGGTACAGACTTCTACCCACCTTTACAAACTCCAGTTTCAGGAATAATAGCTGCTCCGGTTTTGTTGACAGAGGCGCAGGTCAGCCCCAGGGCGCAGTAGCCGTGCGCCCAGTCCTGGCCACCGCAGGGCTCCCACTCCAACCGGGTACACTGATCACAGCATCCGCACGGATCCCTGGCCAAGGTCCGGCCACCTTCGCAGCCGTGTGGGGCTTTGAACGGACATGCCCGGAGATTACAGGGCGTGCACTCATGAGTCGAGAGCGCACGCACCAGAAAGAGGACATTCAATAACACAACGGGGCACTTGCTGAACATGCTTCAAACGCGTTCTGTTAAGTTTCCCAGAGAAATGCTCCACTTCTGTCAGATCATACGCCACATGAACTCACAGCGATGCGCCCTAATAATTCTGTCCCCAAAGTTGTGAAGTCCTCTTGAAAGTTTTGAGATAAGTCTTCCCCCCGGCGTGCAAAAACACCACGAGACTGAGGAGTGCGGATGCGATTTAAGTGACAGCTATATCCAAAGGTTCAGAGTACGCGTGTAGACGTACGTCCCAAGAGTCTCATCTGATTAAACAGGGGACATGTAGAAATCTCAACCGAGGCTGTAGACGTGCGCTGAAGTTTGCTGCTGCTGACAGCCACACACGATTCTGAGCCTTAAAATGACATCCAGGCATATAGAAATTAGCGGTGTACCCGTCCCCTTGACTGACACAGGAGGCGACCAGTCACAAGGAGGGAAAGGAGGGCGGATTTGAATTGATTTATCCCCGCTTGGCAAATCGTCTTGAACGCGAGTTCCCTTTGCTGCTTCATGTTCTGTAACCTGGAGTAAATATGTGCGTTGAACACCCATTTGCCACATTATGAATGGATATATAAGTTTATATTAAAACTTCAAATGTGTTCAAACAAAAAGCTACCTTACTGTAAGATGAGCATGAATAAATCTTTAATTCTTGCTTTAGGTTATAAGCAATCTAAATTATACCGATCGCACTGAACCTACCTAACATAACCATATGAAAACATGGCATAGCTCCTGTCACTGCTACTCTAATTGTTCTCTATCTCTGTTCAACAATACAACAATAAAATCTGTCATGCCTTGCAATCACACACATCAGACATTATCAAGGGCATATATCATTCCACAGCTTTACCTTGGGTGTATGTGGATGAGTGTGTGCTTACTTGTGTTTGTAAGTGTAAGATTATGTGTGCAACTGGTTCTGGAAAGGTAAAAGGTCATCCCGTTGTTGTCGTTGAAGCTGTATGCTAGATGGCAGATTGATGGTTTAGAGGGGAGTTGGTGAGCACAGCTGGAGGCTGATTGTGACAACAGCTTAGGCACAAAAAACCTAGAGAAAATGTTGTAACACATGAAGCTATGCGCCTGTTCTCAGCAGCTAAAAGAATGACTGGAAACTAATCAACACAGAGTTATTCAATATCAAAAGTGTTGGGATGATTCAGTATTGGGGATTTTCCTTCACTGTCACTGGAAACATTTCCTCATCAAACACCAACCAGATGTCATCAGGGGGTCATTTTCCCCCACAATGTCAACACACAACAGCACCTCCTTCATTTGCAACATCTGCCTGGAGCCACCCGCTCCAATACAAACACAACATCCAGGAAACCAGCCCTGGAGCACACATAATCAGCTCTTGCAACACAACTCTGCTCTTGTCCTCTGGCTCTCCCTCCACCCTCCCTTCACTCCATCCCCTCCTTAAAGCTCTTGTCAAACAGGCCGACCCACTGACCGCTGGCCGGACACTTGTTGACGACAGATCAGGCCAGGACCTTGGAAAGCCTTGGTTTCCCTTAACTTGCAAGGACTGTGCCACACTGACTTATTTGGCTGTGTAATGGGCTTTCAAACAGGGCCAGCTAACTGACCTCAGAGTCCCGTCATTCTACTATGATGGACTCAGAGTTTGATTTTAGCCAACCAAAAGGTCACCTTCTGGTTCTCTTTATGTATCCTGGTAATTAAATGTATAAATGCTAACAGGGATCATAAAGGGTGTAGCAGCAATCTTCAGTACAATGACTGGGACAAAACTAGAACACACCCTCGGTAAACTTATTGAGCATATGCCCTGTGTAAAATGTTGCATGAATGTAGCATTTGGAAAACATTCCCCCTGTTACAGTGAGGCAAATAAGTATTTGATACACTGCTGATTTTTCAAGTTTTCCCCACTTACAAAGATTGGACAGATCTGTAATTTTCATCGTAGGTACACCTCAACTGTGAGAGACAGAATCTACAGAAAATTTTCAGAAAATCACAGTTAGATTTTTAAATAATTTATTTCAATTTTATTGCATGAAATAATAAAATCAGGTTTTGGGGCTGTCGCTGGGCAACACAGAGTTTCAGCTTCCTCCATAGATCTTCTATTGGGTTCAGGTCTGGAGACTGGCTAGGCCACTCCAGGACCTTGAAATGCTTCTTA